CTTTATGTTTCCAGAATAATAACATAATGTTTAAATATAATTCAATTATGTAATACATCAGTAATTACAGTATTTTCTAATTCCTAATATACCTTAGCAAACTGATTAAAAAAGCTTTGATGATAGACAAGTTCTTGTTTTGTGTGAAAACGTAATACATTTGTAATAGATCCATTAGAGGATCTGATCAAGGTAAAAGCAATTAGTAACATTAAATTACTGAAATAACAACAGGATAGCTAAAGTACAAGGAAGTAATCAATAGTAGTAGAAGTATTGATATAAACAACTTTGTAGAATTGATAGAGTATGAAAGTGAGTTAAAATTAAAATTAAAATAGCTATGAACATAAGTTGACACTGGTTGAAGAATATTTTTTTAAAAAAACTACGTAGAACAGATACAAAATGCCAGTCAACTTGAGTTACTTCAGTCACTCAATCGTAACCAATGTAGAACTTCAAACTTATAGAAAAATCCGCAAAATGCTACACCACGGCAATGTGCAGGGATGAAACTATCAAGATGAATACCAAAGTAGTAGATGTAGTAACTGAATCAGTAGCAAGAGTGGTCAGAACTTTTAAAAGAATGGATTAACTCATAGGATTAAAAGTATAAAACAATTTCAGAACTCAGAATACAGAAGCAGACAAACAAGGACCGGATTAGTAGCACTATGACAATTTTCGAGCCACTGGTTTGCTTTAGATAACCTAAACTCTAAGATCTCATGAAGAGAGTGCAAGTAACAAGTAAACTATTAGATCAAAGTGAAAATCAAATTTTTCCATTTACCGTCATGTTTTCATCTTTCTGATAGTGGGTTCACTTTGTTATGACTACAAATTTTCTTCTGAATGGAAAATATAACGGCTAATTGTTTGCTTTCAACTGAACCATATTTTACTTACTAAGCATGACAGATTGATAATTTCACTTGCAGTTAATTCGATAACACATATAAATATGCAAGTTTAGCCAGAATACCTTCAATTATTCATCGAAACAAATATTTATTTAGAGATACTGATTTATTAGCGTAGTGACATTTACAACATTTTATGGAAAATATTAGTCACTTTAATAAAATTACCAGATGAAACAAATCTAACGACTTGAATATATAGGAATCACACATGAGAAAGAGCCTTTTAAAAACTCCTAGGAATATATGAACAGAAAACACAAACGTTGTTAGAGATAAGGCTGCTTGTGGAGATAGACATAATAAACCTATTTTGTAAATAGGTTTTGGTATCTTTTGCATTTATTTTGCCAATTATCACAATCTGTACATTTACCATTAATCGATTGCACTGGTTGTTTAAGTATATGACCTTGAATACTTACATCCTTCCTTCCGTCTTTGAATCCCACATAGCGTGACATTGTTAACTGCTCATAATTAAATACACTTTTATGCATACGTCTCTCGTCCTATCATGTTTGTGGATATGATAACGGAGCGATTAATTAACTATCATTTATATTTATAGACTGTTGTAACATTCACATTACCTTCTACGTTCGGATACACTACTGGAGCCATATTGTCTCATTGGAATTATTATTTACCTATAATTGTGGATTCTGGTACCAAAACCAACAAAACACACGCCAACCTGCTGATTTAAGTAACGTCCCTAAACTTTTATTTGTGTTATTATCTTATGTGTTATTTATTGCTACATTAACTTTTGGACGTAATAACTTTATTGCTGTTTTTCGGTTAATATACTTTTTGGTCCACCACAATCGTTTGGTGAGCCTCGTATTTATTCTGACTGTTATATTGCGTATTTTTTTACACGACACACTGGTTCATTTTTCATGTAATGTCATCTCCAACCAAACTTATTGATATGGATCCTCCTCCAGTAACCACTTCTAGTTCAGTGTCAAACCCTACTGAAAACATTTTAAGCCCAGTTAATGCTATCTCTGAATTCAGACTCCTTACATACGGATCTAATAATCCAAGAATCTGGTTTGCGCAAATAGAAGCTTTATTCATGGCCAGAGGCATACGCTCACGAGCAACAAAGTACGCGCATGTTGTCGGTGCACTCCCCATTGAAATTGCTGCTGAGGTTGGGGACTTAATTGACCACGTGCCTGAGTCGGAACCACACGATAAGATAAAAGCAGCGGTAACTCAACGCACTTCAGTCTCAGATGAAAAAGACTTCAACAGTTGTTAACGTCTTGCGATCTGGGAGACAAGAGACCCTCCCAACTTCTTCGACACATGAAACAACTTGCGGGCCCATACAAACTGGATGAAGCCCTCCCAAAACAAATGTGGTTTCAACGATTACCACATAACGTTAGACAAGTCCTTCGTGTCTCGGGGAAATCGGTCGCCCTACATGATTTAGCCGACATAGCGGACAAAATGATGGAAGTTTATCATGATAGTCCCCACGTAAACTTTGTGCAACCACCTGGAGCAGTGGATACCGGTTGCTTAGCCTCTTTCCAAAGGCAGTTAACACAACTAACGAGACAACTAGCGTCACTGCAGACGACAATAGCAACTGTTCAAGCTAGACAACAAAGATCCTCTTCTAGACGAAGATTTTTATCTCGGCAACGTTCACGTTCTCCTAAATAAACCTCGGAAGTCTGCTGGTTTCATAACAAATATGGCGCTAAAGCACGGCGTTGTACACGATCGTGCACATTTCCTTCAACTGATACGGTGAATCAGGGAAACGGCCCGGCCAGTGATGGCGGCGCCTGTTTCTGGCCACTATCCAAGCCGTCTCTTTCACATCAGGGATCGAATTTCTGGCTCAGAATTTCTAGTCGATACCGGAGCCGAAATCAGCATCTTCCCACTACATCTCTCTCGACGACGGCACTCTGAGTGTTCTAAATTATCTCTCGTCGCGGTCAACAACACTGTCATTAAAACTTATGGAGAACAGTTATTATTCATAGACCTCGGTCTCCGCAGAAGATTCACATGGGTGTTTATCGTAGCTCAAGTCAAACAACCCATTCTCGGAGCCGACTTCCTCAGTCCTTACAACCTACTAGTAGATATGGGCAACAAGAAATTAATTGACAAGAACACGAATTTACAGGTCATTGGCACAATCATCTCCAACTACGAAATTCATGGAGTTCGAAGGATAAAACCTGTGAATAACATTTTCACCGACATTTTTTCGAAATTTGAGTACATCACCAGGGTGGATTATCGAAACGAATGCATCACTCACCATGTACAACATCACACTACTACCACAGGCCCTCCAATACGCGCCAGGCCAAGAAGACTGCCCCCACATAAGCTAACAACTGCTAAGCGAGAATTCAAGCACATGATGCAACTAGGCATCATTAGGCAGTCTAGCAGCCCATGGGCCTCCCCACTACACATGGTCCCGAAGAAGGATCAAGATTGGCGCGCCCTGTGGAGACTACCGCCGTTTAAACAACCTGACTACTCCGGATCAATACCCCACCCCTCACAAGACTTCTCATTGGACCTACGTGGAAAACGGATTTTTTCGAAGTTAGACCTAGTTCGAGCATATCATCAAATACCGATGGCACCTGAGGATATTGAAAAACAGCTATAATCACACCTTTTGGTTTGTTTGAATTCTTGAGGATGCCTTTCGGATTAAAAAACGCTGCTCAAACCTTCCAGAGATTCATGGACGAAGTAACCAGAGGTTTGGATTTTGTATTTGTCTATGTCGACGATGTTTTAATCGCTAGTTCTTCCACTGAAGAACATGTTCAACACTTACACACACTTTTCGAACGTTTCAAAAGTTATGGTGTGGTAATCAATCTCTCGAAATGTATATTTGGCGTCTCAACCGTGGAATTCCTGGGACATCACATTGATTTCCAAGGAATTAAACCTCTTGAAGAAAAAGTCGAAGTTATAGTCAACTTTCCCGAGCAAGTCGACAAAGACATTACGCCGGTTCCTGGGGATGTGCAAATTTTACCGACAACTGGTCAATCATGAATCTACGTCAGGGGATCTTTCTCATTTTGTAAGCCGCTTTCTGCGAACGATGCAGAACATCAAAGCAATATCCCCGCGAGAACGTAACAATCGAGTTCAACTTGATAAACATCTTGAAACGTGCAAATTTGTTTTCGTTCGAGCAAACGCTGTGAAAAAGCTACTGAAACCACCATATGAAGGTCCTTTTAAAGTAATTAAACGCACTCACAAATACTTCACTATCAAAAGAAACGAAAACAAGGAGACCGTCTCTATAGACAGAATAAAACCAGCTTTTCATGAAGCTTCTCAAGACAAAGAAGACAACACTGCGAATAAACAATCCCTCCCATCCATTACTGCGAAGAAAGAGGAGGATGAAAAACGTCGAATAAATCGGAATCAGACCTGAGAAAGAGGCTTTTAAAAACTCCTAGGTATATATGAACAGAAAACACAAACGTTGTTAGAGATAAGGCTGGGGACTGATACTGTTTTGTCACCAAGTAAACGCGTATCAAACAAGTTTTAAACAAGTGGATGGAAACATAATCCACAATATATCTTGAAAAGTTCACTTCCAATGCGTCTTTCTGAGATCCAAGTCTTAAACTAACCTGGCCTGTCATCTGGTTTACATTTAAACGTGAGCGTTAAAAGGGAGGAAGTTAAAATGGTGTACAAGTTATTAGCTCTGGATAGTGTATTGTGTAAGTGGGCAGTTTTATAAACTTAACATGTCAGTATGGGATTTGTGGAGATCGTAGTACTTTCACAGTTGAATTCATGAGTCGATCTAAGCTAGACCACTATTAAAAACTAGGAAGCACTGGACGGCCGTTTCGTCCTAATTTGGGACTCCACAGTAGTACGCATCCCACGATCGCTATCCAGTGCTTCCAGGTTCTCAATAGTGGTCTAGCTTAGAAAGACTCGTGAATTCAACTGTTAACATGTATTTTCTACCTAAATAACACATGAAATTAATTAAAGTTAGCTTGAATAAATCAAATTAAAACTAACTTCAATTTCAGCATCTTTTTCTTGTTCAATACTTTTTGATTTTTCTAAAGCTAATTCTAATTTTCGATTTCTATCAAGAAGAGCTTTACCCAATTCAGCGGCCAATATCAAATCTAAAAAATTCATATAAACACATAAAAACTCATGAATATTAGAGTACACTAGATTAAAAATCAATAAAAGCTTACTTTTTGACGTTAGTAAATATGAATTAACTAGACTAGTTTAGACTAACCTACTTTTCAGACTAACATAATCTTGATATATTTAATGGAATGAAAATAGAGCATTTACTAAATGCATACTGTTAAAATTGATATTTTTACAGTCATTTATCCAGTCATAAGAAATGTAAAGCCTGGCACAGATATGCGTTAGCACAAGCTGACATAAGCATATAAGAACACAGACATAAAATCATTACAATTAATAAACCAAGTAATTGAATAGTAGTAAAAATGAACATGAGAGGAACTAAACACTAAAAATATGGTTTGGTAAAAAAGAATGAGAAAACAGATATGTGAAAGAATATTGAAACTCGTCATCTAGGAGGAGAGAATGAAAGGATTCATCGCTTCACTGTAATTAAATCTAAGCCATGTCACATAACGTTTCCAATTAGTAATCACTATCATCTAATGTATATTTTTGGCAGTCTATCGATTTCATCCTCAAAACTAGCTTGTATAACTATGTATCTGTAACATGATCGTCAAAAAATAGCACTTGGACAAAATTACATATATTAGAACAAACAAATGTAATGGTGATTAAATAATGATGTTCAATTGCAAAACGTATAATTTGATCTAGCTTTCAACAAATTACTTAAAATAACTTTCAACTGACCGTCTTCTATATTTATTTATAGGAGAGACAATGTTGACAATAATTTTCTTTGAAAAATAATAGTGGGTGATATAAATTAAGCCATGTAAATTTATAATACATTTTAATAAGTATAAGTCACATCTCAACCATTTTATCGGATATATATATATCGATCACTTAGTGTAAATATCGAACAATTTATGCAAATATTAAGAAAATTCTATATTTTCTGAAAAAAGGCATTGTTTACATTGTGAAAAAGTTTAGCACACTTTTAGGTCACCTAAATTTACCAAGATTTCAGTAAGCAACTACTTTAAGATTTTGATAAATATGTTCATATCATATATATGCAAAATCTTTTGTCTTTGACAACAGGATATATGATTTTATTGAAGAAAGTTTTACATGCCCAAGTAAATAATGATTTTGTAGTGTCTACTTCCAGTAAAACTGAATCCGCTTGGAGTCTGAGTATATTCAGGCGACGAGTTCCAGAAGAGATGAACCTGGGGTTTTAAATTTTGATGTTAGTAGATATCAACACAAAACGAGGTTAAATACCTTCATAGCTTTCATACAGCTGTTAAATCGATTTTCAAGTTATTGTTTTTGTTATGGAAACTAAGTTCACCGAGCTATTAAACTAATAAACGTTAGCTATGATCGAATTCTAAAATACCTAATTCATAAATATTTGAACAAAGCAAGCTTCTTTTCACTATTGATCTGAATTTTTGTGTCGTACGAAACAATAACGTGTATCCAATTCCAAAATATTCTACCAAAATGTAAAGTGTAAACCTTGAACTATGTATAACCAACAAAAACAACTACCATAAAACATAAATGAAGAGATCTTTCTATTCTTTTTATTAACGCAAGGTAACTCAAAGAAATTTATTTTACTATATTCACGAGGGAAGATCAATTAGATCAACTAAGCAAATAGAATAACAATGCATCTATTCCAAAGACGTCCTGGATTGGTATAACCCATCCTGGCTTTTATTATATGTAGAATGACATCATTTATCTCATCACCATCAACAGCCACACAAATACCCTGATACTCAAAATCATTTTGACCACTTTTAGCAGTTCACTACAAATGTGTGAATACAAACCCTTTTGGTGGTTTTCTAAGAATCATTTGCACTTTTTTAATACATGATATGCTTACGTACACTAATTTTTGGCTGATTACTTGCTATTCGGATGTCCTGTGTGCTACCGTACAATGAGACAGTATTATTTATACATTTACGGTCAAAACCTTACTCTTCAGGTAGAAAATTAACAACACCATGTGCTGTCTTCAGAGCCCTTTGAATGACTCAAGCAGTGGGAAAATTAAAGAAGGATGAGAATCGACAACCCTACTTAATACTATTATCAGGTAAGAACAGTAGAGAGAGATTTTTGTATGTTCTGACGCTACTAAGCATTTTTTTCAGAGCTTTTAAGATGTTAACTGGCCTCTAAGCAAGACTCTCAACAGATAATCCAAATTTATGGTTCTATCCAGGTAATTGATGATACTCGGTATTAATAATGCAACGATTGTTGCCCTTCAGTGAATGTCGTAGCAAATAAACCTTCACTGTAGGAGGACGAACTGATCAACGCATCCTCAACCATGACTGAAACTACTTCGTCATTTTGATTAGATATGATAAGTTTAATCAATCGTTCAGAGGATCAAAATGACTTATTCAGTGTTAATTAAAAAAGTTGATTCTGCATTCTATGAGGCAGATAGTAATTTAACTATAGCCCACCAATGTTATAAATATGGAATAACGACTAACAATAGGTTTCATTAGACTGGTTATTGCTAGATATAACCAGATAAAAATGAGGTGATCAGTTTGTATATAGGTATGAAATTATTGAGAACCTCACCGCATGGACCAAAAGTCCTGTTGTATTTCTCATAATCCAAGAATGAATACGGATTGTTGATATAGACACAGTAAAATGGATTTTTTATACAACAGTTTATTTTAAAATATTATTGAGAGTATTTATCACAATTTAACACACCGTTATCATGCCAATAACCTTCATCAATTAAAGAGCATTGATCATCTGTCAGTGAAGGTGCAGGAGATGACGATTCATATACTTCATTTTGATACTGATTCATAGGTGATTAAAACGCCAAGTGTTTTTCTGAATAAAGATAAATATCGGTTTAATTTTTTTAATTTAGCAATAGGAATCCAGAACAAGACTGTAACACAAACTTTGAAGTCAGTTTCAACTCATTACATAGATTTGAAGAAAGATTGACAAATGATCTTATGCTGATTAAGCTAAAATAACATAAAAGATATACAGTACATACTATCAGTTAACGTGGATAAATAAAATAATTTTAAACAGCTAGCAATGTCTGATTGCGAAATCAAAGAGATTCAAAGTACGAACGACTGTGCTACTCGAATGAAAACATACTTTGAAGGTGTGTATCTAGAATGTTTCTAATTTAAGCAATCGAATCCTCTAATGACTTTAATGATGATTAGTTACTCAGTTTAATTGGTGATAAATCATATTGCATAGAATGTTTTCGATGTTCATAAACTGAAAAGATATGAAAATAACTAAGTAAATACATTTTAAACATCATACAGAAATCCTCTTTTTAGTAAATTAAAATATTTAAAGTACAAAATATGATATTCTTAACGTAATTGATAGGACGAAGTAAATAAACTCATATTCCACACAGCATTTGCTAAAAAACGACATAATTGGTTAGAAGGAACTTGCATTAAAAGAGTAAACCAGTAGTTCAGCGTACTCTTGACTAGTAAGATTAGTTAAAAATGAAGCTATACAACTTTTGTACATCCAAGTGATAGTAGATTACGATGATGATAGGTTCCGTTGGTTAATCATAAAAAACTTGAAACCTCTCACGTGGGTACATCGGTCCAAGTTACCGTACGATATCAGAACACTGACTTAAAATCATCAAAACAAAGGTCAAAGCAATGGTAATATCAGTGATAGTAAAAATAGGTAAGACATATGGAATATGGTATGAGTTTGTGGGTAGGATAAAAACTAAAGCTTTAAAACTCAAAACTAGTGAAAGACAAAGAATGCATTTATAGGTGCTATTTTAGACAATTACGAGTCATATCGCACAACATCTCTAACCATGGATCACAGTTATCACAAGAAACCCAACTAGACAAACTTCATATCCCATCATGGCTCAGATCAACATTTAGAGATTTCACAAACTGAAATCATATTTTATTTTAGTTTCCCCTTTCCTATAACTTATACATACTCTAACAACAATAGGTAGGTGTATGACATGCTCCAGTTATCTTAATTAATAAAGACTCACGACATAGTCAACCTATTTATCATATCTGTCAAGTACTCTGAGTTTAGGTAATAAGACCAATTAACAATTGAATGATTTCATGGTAACCCAGTAGTGACTTTGTGGTTGTATCACAGGAAATAAAAATCATTTATGTAAATGATGATACTTCAAGAGTAAATAAACTACATTGGTGTTGAACGTCTAGTTTTAATTTTTATAAAATAGGAAACAGAATAACACTTTTGAATTTATGCCCCAAAGAAAATCTAATGAACCGTACAATCTTAATTACTAAGTTCAAGACCAAGTGTTTTAACCAAACTTATAGTAGTACCAGAATATGAAGTTGTAAGGTGTGCCACACGCTTAGTTTGCTTTCAAAGAAAGAGCTTTAAATATCTCAATCAACCACTGAGTTAGTTGAGTAAAATGAACAAACAGCTGACTAGGCCTACTATAAATATTCAAGTGATAAATTTGGCAAACAAGAATGCAGTTAATACTTGAAATTCGCATCCCGTAATACAAGAATGCACTGGTTAACAAACTTACAATACACAATACAAAGTATCGATTCTTATCTCTAACAGAATATGGAAGAAACAAAATTATTCTCTATGTAAGTCATATAATGAGTTTTTGAGCATTTGTATATTATCCAGTCCGATTATTTGAGTGTAATCATTTATGTTTTAAGACTACTAATAGTGTTTCCCAGGCAAAGAGACGTATTTACTGTATTGCAGTATAACGCGAGATATTTGTGACTGGAATCTGTATGGTTTGATTACCATGGTGACTCAAGTATGGACTTATGGGTTGAAGTTTTGGCCTATAGCTATTAGATTGACTCCAGTTAATGACGGTGAATGATGAAATACAGAGTCTTTTAAACTCCGAACGTATTTTTTTGGCCGATATCATCAAAACAAACGGAAAATGAAAAGACAAATACTAGTATTTCAATTGAATACATTTCAAAAACAATCATTCACATAAATGGATAGTCAACAATGAGGTGTGGATAAAAGCAGGAATTATACTCAGGTCCAAATTTCACAGATGAACAGGTAAGAAGATAATAGACGGGTAACAAATAGAATAAAAGTTGGACAAATTAGAAAGAAGCGTAAAATATAACCGAAAAGATTGAAATAATTTATCTGTTTAGAAGCCAGTACAAATTCACGTGGGCAATATACAAGTGCACTGCAAACTTCTTCTTCATGAAGGCTTTGTCGTTGAGTGGTGATAATCTCATCCAGTAAACTAACCTCTTGAATTAAAAGTCGGACCTTAAAATCAAAGACATCCATTCAGTGGACTTACTACATGCAACCGATTCTACAAAAGCTATTTTGACAGAATTCTTAGGATGTACTAAAATCTGTCGTGAATCTGAAGTTATCACATGACTTGATAAGATATTTGTAACGTTTTATTGAGCTAGGATCTGTTGGGACACCCTGGTTATATAAATTCGGCCGAAATAAAGTTCGTCACATAGGTTGGCCTGAGTAGCATAAAAACCTGGTAGAAAATTTCAGTTAATTATATGAAAGATAGTTGGAAACTACAGAAAATTCGGCTAAATCGGACAAGAATGAAATCTTGAAATTATTCGTTTGAGTGCAAAATAGCTCAAAGTTATCGCACACATATGTATACCATAATATATTTTTGATAAATATTTTGGTTAATAAATATGATGGGACGAAGACAGTTCCAGTTGTCAGGCGACATCAGTAAATTTATTGGAATGACGTGTGATTGGACTCACTAATTATCAATCAAACATTACCTTGCACTAAATTAGGATTTCTAATGAGACAAAATAATCATCTGACTCTAAATTTATGCGTATCAACGACAACTCAGACACTTCATTACTGGTGCTGTGCTTGTACGAATGTATACATTTGTACATATATGTGTATATAGTTAACCCTATCATAAACTGTGGTATTTGTAAGAACTGATGATTCCTCTGTACTTGATTACCCGCTTATTACGAATTCCAAATAAAATAATTTCGTTTGTGTCCATCTAGTTCTTTCTAGCTTATAAGCCAGACATATAAATCGAACCGTTTCGGGAATTCGCAGTTACCACATTAATGCGAATACTTTCAATTATCACGTTAATACTGTTATAGAGATTTCAAAAGATCTCAGAGGAGGGACTATTGTGAAAGTATTAGTATATTGGTTTCCGAAATCCAGTTACCCTAACTAGATGGGCTAACAATAGAGTATAAATTCTGAGACTTTATAAATAAATATGGCGCATTTACCCTTCACTTACAGAATTAATCCAGAACAACCTTTAGTTTGTGACAACTGTGCAACCAAAATATAAGATGTAAAGGAAAACTCCAGCGATAACTGTTGAAGTGTATACAATCCTGCTGACGGTTGACCTACGGAACGTGGTGGTGATAAACAAAAAAGGCAGTCGATCAATTTACACATAGGAATGAAAACAAAACGTTTCGAGCATTATTTTGTTTGATGTATCCAAACCTTATATATATTACTTTAACTAAATGTGATTTTCTAAGGTTCAAGTGAACACTGGGTAGATAAGTAAACCCTCCCAAACAATAGACGGGATACAAAAGCGAACAAAGGGGAAATTAGGGGGAAAATGCGTTCTAAAATAAAGAAGAAATGGTTGGGAAACGAGCCAAAATGTCTGCTTTTTCGCATTTCCGTGGAAAATAATGCGGCTTTTTTCTCTTTTTGTCGTTGTCTCTCAAATGTCGCTGAATTATCTATTTTTCTCCTAAACATACGCCGAATTGTCTATGGCAAGCCACGGAGTTTGAGAACTACGCAGGTGCTTTTCCTTTATACCCTTACTAAAATATCCTAGTCACCTCTGAAACAGAGGCCTGCAGCATCAAAGCAGTGTTCATGTGAGTATCTCATTAAGGTTGCTCATATAGTGGTGAACATATTAGTATCCGAACTCGTAAACTTCTGTCATAAGGCTCACAAGATTATAAAATCCTTAACTGCGACCGCCCAGCAGTGGGCCATGGTCTTAAGGTCATGCCTAGCTGTTACCTTAGTATCATTTTGCGACGAAACAACGGGCACCGAATCTTTCTCTATGCTGTACCTGTTTATTTTTTTATTCCCAGTGTGCATGTAGACACAGCGGCGTTGATAAACATCAGTCTCTTTTTAGACCAACTAGCCAGTACATCTAAGTTCACTAGCAGTGCACATACATCTGCATGTCCTACTATTTCCCGCTAGATATTTACGTTATCAGTGTAAATTAGAATCGATGATTCAACTATACTTGGGATTCATCTAAATACAACACATGAGGTAAACGAATTGGGACGGAGCCTTGCTGCACTCCGTTAGGTACTGATTTCCAGAAGCATCATCTGTAATTTATTTTCATTTTCTGTCTACGATCTATCATGAAATCCTTGAACGGGCAGCTCCTAGATTTTTCAGCTTCAAGAGCAATATATTTACGACATCTTATCGAGTGCTTTGCTGAAGTTTATGTGAACAAAATCCATTGATTTTTCACTATCTACAGATCGTTTATTTCTCTCTTGTTATAAAAACGTTTGTCGTGCAAGATCATCATTTCCTGAAACTATACTGTTCCCTATTTTATAGGTTGTTAGTTCCTTCGAACTTACACAAGTGACAAACCGAATTTCGTAGTCAGCGGAGCAGCGATGTTTTATGCAAGCTGTCTCAATATTTTAAAGTGAAGTTCCTCCGGCCCTATTGGTTTCTCGGTGTCTAAATCGCTAAAATCCTTTAGTACAT